AGTGTAGCAGGGAACTGCCAGAACTAGATGTTGAAGAACTTGCACCTCAGATAGCAAAATTGCATGAAAGAAACCCCAAAACAACTAACGAAGACATTAGTGCTCCAGAGACATCTAGAGAATCAAGATACCCCACTAGGATAAGAAGTAAGAGTAAATATCTTGACGAGTATATGACAGAAGAAGTTTCAGGGGAGGATACTGTTTCATATACCGTAGATTATTGCTACAGAGTATCCAACATCCCAACGACATATTCCCAAGCAATAAGCTCCAATGTAAAAGTAAAATAGTAAAAAGCCATGTATGATGAAATGAAAGCGTTAATTGACAGTGATACGTTTGAACTTGTTCCACCCCCAACAAATAGAGACATAGTGGGGGGAAATAGGTATACACCGTAAAAGTAGGGCAGCATTTCGTAAAATAGTAGCGAGAGACTTGCCGAGCCGAAATCGAATTTTTCCATAATTTCGTAAAAGCACTATTGCCAATACACATCTAATATAAACGACAACTTTTTTGAAAATAGACATGTTTCGACATCTCATGATGCCATCGTCAGTATGAGTGAAATAATAAGTGATACAAGGTTTATATAAAAGTAATATGATACATAAATTAGAAGAATAAAAAGGAAATAAGATAAATTAATGAGGAGCGCCCGAGCGTATTATAAACTAAATATTGTATTGAATTTAAAAACTTGAACATTGAGGTCAAGGTTAGTTTTGTTAATGTGGAGTGCTTCTTTGATTTTAAGGGTGAATGAGGTGTTGGCAGTGTCGATGATTTTGAAGCAAGAGGGTGAATAGTTGGTTTTACATGAGTGAGATTTAAGAAGGTGTCGGTAGATATGAGAATTTTTGTCTGTTGTGGTATGTTCCCTGATTCTGGTGGATAAATGGCGTGAAGTTTCGCCAATGTATCAAGAATTACATCACGCGCAATTGAATTCATATACCACCATACATTTAATTGAATCAGGGATTGGGTCTTTGAATGAGAAAAGGTTTTTGATTTTGAATGATGTGAAAATTAGTCGAATGTCAATATCTGTACAGAAGCGTTTCATAATATTTGTAAGTCTGCGTTGTGTGTGTCCTGAATAATGTCCGATGTATGGTAGTTTAAAGTATAGAGTTTTTATTTTGGAATTTTCATTTGTGTTGGTCGTGATCGTCGTGTCAGGAGTTTCGGTGTCTAGTTGTCAACTGTTTGAGGTTGTTGCTTTGTTTGTTGTCGAGATATCGTTTTACGGTTCTGTTAATAAAGTGAAGTGGGAAAGAGTTTCGTAAAAGAGTGGATGTGGTGTTTTTTATGTCTCGTTGAAAGCCATTGTTCGTATTGTTAAGTTTGTATGCTCTGTCGATTAGTGTGCGTATAAGTCCGGTTTTGTATGAAAGTGGTGTGAAACCACTATTCACCCTCTTACTTCAAAATCATGGACGCTGCCTACACCTCATTCACCCTTAAAATCAAAGCACTCCAGATTAACAAAACTAACCCTGACCTCAATGTTTAAGTTTTTAAATTCAATACAATATTTAGTTTATAATACGCTCGGACGCTCCTCATTAATTTATCTTATTTCCTTTTTATTGTTGTAATTTATGTATCATATTACTTTTATATAAACCCTGTATCACTTATTATTTCACTCATACTGAAGATGGCATCATGAGATGTCGAAACATGTCTATTTTCAAAAAAGTTGTCGTTTGTATTAAATGTGTATTGGAAATCGAATTCGTGAAATAAAAATTAATGCCCAACATAAAGTTCTGATTAGAGCCATAGAAATAGACAAAAAAAATTGTAAAATTGAATTTATTGTAACGTTTCGTCTTTACTCAAGACATCTTCAGACAAATAATAAATAGGATGTTAAGACAAGAAATTATAATTGCAAAAAGGTGTTAAATTACTACTAAAGGAGGCGGTGTCAAATGGATTATATGATAAGGAAGTTAGGAAGTAAAATAAAGAGAAATTAAAAGAGGTTAAGTTGAATGGAGTTTCCTTGCACGTTAAGTGAAGGCTTGTATTTATTGATTAGAAGGCTCTCTTGAATGGTTAGTTCATAAGAATCGTTAAAAGAAGAGATTATTTTAAAGTCGTCGAAGTTGGGGGTGTGTCCAGTTGCGTTAATGTGAGCAAAGATGCTTGATAACGCAGGGTGGGAAACTTGGTTGCCTGTAAGGGGGGATATTCCAAAGTGCTTCTAAAATCTGGTGTGTAGATGACGTGTGGTTTGACCCACATACGAGGCGTTGCAGCTTCGACACTTGACTAAATAGACTACACCAGATCTTAGCGGTTTGGGAATTTTGTCCTTAAAGGGGAAGAAAGAAGAGATACGTGGGGAAGAGCAAAAAAACAAATTTAATAGATATATGTGGGAAGGTTGCAGCAAAAAGGCCATTAATTTGTGTACGAATTTGAAGGGAGTGTATGCCGGTGAAAGGATGACAAAAATAGATGGGCATTTTGTGAGCAATCAAGACAGGTGGTTTGGAGGTGTTGTTAAGGAGAAGCGACGTGTGATTTGGTCAATTATACGTGAAGGAAAACCGTTTTTGGTAAGTGACTTTCTGGTAAATTCGAGTTGTGTATGAAAATTTTCGTAAGTAGAACAAAGGTTGAAGATGCGGTGACCACACGGTGACCACACGTCATCTACACACCAGATTTTCGGAGCACTTGGGAATATCCCCTTACAGGCAACCAAGTTTCCCACCCTGCGTTATCAAGCATCTTTGCTCACATTAACGCAACTGGACACACCCCCAACTTAGACGACTTTAAAATAATCTCCTCTTCTAACGATTCTTATGAACTCTCCACTCATGAGAGCCTTCTAATCAATAAATACAAGCCTTCACTTAACGTGCAAGGAAACTCCATTCCACTTAACCTCTTTTAATTTCTCTATATTTTACTTCCTAACTTCCTTATCATATAATCCATTTGACACCGCCTCCTTTAGTAGTAATTTAACACCCTTTTGTAAATATAATATCTTGTCCTTAACACCCTATTTATTTTTTGTCTGAAGATGTCTTCAGTAAAGACGAAAAGTTACAATAAATTCAATTTTACAATATTTTTGGTCTATTTCTATGGCTCTAATCAAAACTTTATGTTGGGCATTAATTTTATTACATTGTAAGCATATTTAATATACGACAAGTTTTTAAAATAGACATGTTTCGACATTATGCCATCTTCAGTATGAGTGAATAGTGATACAAGGTTTATATAAAGTAATATGATACATAAATTACAATAATAAGAAATAAGATAATCCGAACGTATTATAAATTCAATATATTTAGTTTATAATACGCTCGGACGCTCCCTATTAATTTATCTTATTTCCTTTTATTGTTGTAATTTATGTATCATATTACTTTTATATAAACCTTGTATCACTTATTATTTCACTCATACTGAAGATGGCATCATGAGATGTCGAAACATGTCTATTTTAAAAAAACTTGTCGTGTATATTAAATGCGCATTAGCAATAGTGCTTTTACGAAATTATCCATGAATATCTTATTTCCTCTACTACCTCGTGACCATGCACATGATGTGTATCGATGTAGAACATTACTATTATATAGTAGAAATTTATTTCTTTTTATTATTATATAAAGATATATGAAAGTTAACAAGTTCATTTTCCAAACTTGATTCGAGCTAGTTCCAAATCTCACCAAAATCAACAAATTTATCTTTATAAAACATTTACATACGTACATAACGCGGAAGTAGAATATTTTACAGAAAAACAAAATAATCGATAAATGGACATGAAACATTAAATCACAAAATCAAAATACAATATAACAACGAAAGGTAAAGTTTAAAATCAACATACCTTCACAAATTCAGAAAGATTACAAGACACAACCAACTACATGATATCTCAGGTGCGGCGTTCTAGTCGATTCTGTGGAATAATTTAAATGATTTACGTTTCCGGTCACGTGAGATATGTTACCCTACCCTAGGAAAAAGGCTCCTACAATATACCGGAAGAAAACCCTTTCGTTTTACCAACCAAACAAATCACTCCATTCGTCTTATGAGACGTGGCTAAAAGCCGGTAAAGTACGGGTACAAAACGTCGGCTGGTAGTCGTGGGAGATACATACGTTGTACTTTGGTCGTTTAACTTATGTTATTGTGTCATTGGTAATATCGATAATATTTTCTGATTTGTGATTTTCTTGCTGGTAATTTTAAAAGATGCCAAGGTACACCAAATAACGGCCTTATAGCTGTTAGACTTTTCAACATTTATTTTCATTTTATAGATTTTATGATAATTTTGTAGGAGCAATAAAAGGTTTAAAGCAACTGTAGCTGTCACATATCATGATGAGGATGGCCATGTTGAGAGAGAGGAGGTGGATTTGTCAGAATTGGTTACTGAGGATCATAGAGGAAGCTGTTCTTTTAACAGTCCTGATAATTGTGGTGCATTGGAAGGCCATGAACTGGGAATGGAACAAGATAACAGTGATCTTGAAAGTGATGTTCACCATGATTGTGAAGAATCATCTTCTTATTACCAGAAAGTTGAAAGAAAACAAAAGCATGGGAAAATTTGCGACATTCAATTATAAAGAATACATTTCAGTTTGCTGGCAAAATTGGAGCAATCTGAAGTGTATTCATTGTGATAATGAAGCAAAGTTTAGGTGCAGCGATTGTGGTCCAATGGCAAAGTATTGTGAGAACTGTATGTTAAAGATGCACACAACCGTAAATATTTGTCATCATGTTGAAATATTTAAGGTAACCTTTATGAGCTAGATATTATAAAAGTGTTTACAGTTAACTCTCTCAACACTTGCAACAAAAAATGCAAAAATAAAATGAGAGTTTACATTGTGAAACATGCTACAAGCACTAATCTAATATTTTTATGAATGCAAGAAAGGGATTGATTACAACTAATTTCTACGAGGTTATTCATTGCTTTGTAGGATGGCATGTTTTGGCCATATAAACTCATGAACATGCTGGTGTATGATTGTTCATGCCAAACAGCTCGTCACAAAAGAAGTGTTTCTGTTGTTGATGTTAAAGGTATGTTATATGTAAAATGTGCTGCAAAAGTTTTTCATTTTAGCTGGGATGGTTCAACACAATTATAATTTTGGATCTTTTTCAATTTTAGGCACCTTTTGTACTGTTGAGGTACAGTTTTGCTCATGCTCTCCAGAGTTTGTTCAACTTCTGCAATTTGGCCTTTGGGGTGGAACACCTACAAAACCAAGAATTGCATTTGCAATTGAGTTTTTGAATTGATTCATTCTGTGCAGATGGAATGCCAGGCATCAATAAAAGCATTTGTCAGTCATTTGAAGAGTTTAATCATAACCACATATTCTCTTCTTATGCAACACCAAAATGTATCCTGTCATTATAGATGCTTTTGAAGAATATAGGTAACTGCATGTAGGTCACTGATTTATTGCACTGCTGTACTACGTATGAATTGCTGGGAAAGTTGCAGTCAATTTTATAGCCTAAGAATCTCATCTTAAGAGATGTATTTAATTGGAGGAAATCAAAATGCTAAAGTTTATGATGGGAAAGGATTTTTCCTCAAGTATTACTGTCTTGCACTGTATTTTGTTTATGTCATTTGTTTAAGAGTGCATAATTGCTTTCTTTGTGTCATTGTTTTTTTCAGAATTTACAGACATAAACTAAACATGTTGAGCTGTGTTATTCCTGAGCTTGATGAAGGAAATATCTGTCCTACTTGTCCCAAAGTGAGTATATTCGTATTACTTGTTTAACAATGACAATTTAGTAAAAAGAACATTAGCAATGCTATCTCAAACACCTTTTTGACTGCATCATTTGCATCATTGAACTCAAATACATTGCATGATTTTATCCTTCACCATTTTATTGAAGACTGATGGTGTGATCTTTGAGTCTCTTGATGCTCTATTTATTGGACGAAGGAAAAAGCTGGGCAGAGTCTTGGAAAACCTCTATTTGGACAGCTGATGTTCTATGATCAGACACATGTTGATCAATTTGTTGCCAATTATACCACACCTACATCAAACAAGGTCAATGTAGCTTTAATATACTTTGTTATTCTAATGAAAATTCAGGCATGGAAGTTACAGTGCTTTGAATATATTTGATTTTTTACATTCTCTACCACATAGTTTTTATTTTCAATAAATTTGTGCCATGGGCTTTAGGAAATAAAGCTCTTGTATACTTTTTGTTTGTTACATATTGATACTTATAGGAGTGTCATGGTTTTCTTGCTGGGAATGCTGTTCGATCAATGAATCGCTACAGAGCTCTTGATGAAACAGCAATCTTTGGGCAGGCTGTCGACATGAGTTTCCTAAAAATTCTTAAATTTGAAACATGGAGAGAGGTCTGTTACACACATTTTTCTCTATTTTTACCTAAATGTTCTTGGTTTGAAAGAGGTGGTTAGGATGCATGCATTTGATGGTGTAAATTTATTTTTTTCAGTTGGTTTGCTACTTTCAATGCTTTGTGCAAGTGCTGAAGCTTTTGCATACATGTGGTTGCATTATTTAAAAAAATATTCTACATATTTTATAGATTGAGCTATGCAGTTTATGTTCTCCAAGAATTAGAGAAAGATAATGTTGATAATCCTGCACTCAAAATAAACATATTGTATGATGTTGCATGCATGTTGGTGAAACACTTACAGGTAATATTCAATTGACAATAGTTGCTTTGTTACCTGTTTCCTTTGTCAATAACTTTCCCTCAACACTTTTTTCTTTGAAAAGGTAGTCTTTCACATGTTTTTCTATTTTGTTTTTACAAAAAGAATTTGGAGGATCCGATTGTTGACATTTTTCAATTTTCAATTCCAATTTTTCACTGCTATGGGCATGTTGGACGATGCCAAGTTAGTTGTTATTGTTTTTATTTTTCATACGTATTAACAGATGGTGATACCTATGCTATCATAACTAATGGTATTGTAGATGATAAAATGATAAAAATTCAATAATTGTTTACTAAATCTTTCTTGTAAAAGGTTAAATTTAGTCCCCGTCGTAAAGAAGGATTTGGCCTAACTGACGGTGAGATGTTGGAGAGATTGTGAGCTTACATTCGCAAATTTAGCAGAATGACTAAAGAAATGCGTCCAAGTCACAGAGTTGATGTACTCAGTGATGCTCTTTTACATTATGGAAAGAAAACGAAGATTAATTTAGGTATAGCTAGTTTTTCTTTCTTTGTTTGAACATATACATAGCTAACATGTCATCATATTATGTAATAGCAGGTATGAATTAAATTTTGTTTTTTGAGGCAATTTGCTGATGGCAAGGATGAAGCGAGCTGTTGACGTGGAAGAAACTGCAAAATCAGATATTGAAAAGTTATGCAGGTGCTTTCCGTGTGAGTATATGTTTGTATTTGCTGTGTGATTATATTTGACTCCGATTTTGGATATGAACTATTTACGACTCACATGAAAGCAGTAAATTTTCTTTTTCATTATCTAAAGCTCACAGGATTTCAATAGATGATATTCGTGAGTGGATGAAGGACGAATCGACTTTTTGGTCGTGAAGTTGAGACTGGTTAGTAATTGAGAAACAATGGCTTGTAGCTAAGGAACAGATTTGACACATAATTATTGATGCTCATTATGTGGAAATGTTTTACCCACAAAACTTTTTAACAAATATACGTAAATCTTGAACAACTTACAGAAGAAGAAGATTGGAAATGCAACTACGTTATATACCTGGACTTGTACGCTGATCTTTACCATCGATGGAATGGTTGCACTGATCCAAGTGAACTGACTGTTCCATTTAATCAGATGAAAAAGTATGTTCGAAAAGTTCAACATGTTTCCAGAGATATTAAAGTCTTAAACAGTGTGAATTTAGAAAAATGAAGTGGGAAATTTTGAAGCTATGAATGTACGTCGTAACATTGTGAATAATAAGTTGGAATATCGAATAAAAAATGATTTTTTGTTTTTATACGTACGTACAAGTAGAGATGTATATGCCACTTGCAGGTGCTTGTCTGACCGTGTCTTATATTTGTAATGATTTGGTATTTACTGTTTAGAATTGACGAGCAGTTGAAGATCATGGAAAGGGAAAACTCAATTTCTGCACGCTGGCAAAATACTGACTCAGAGTACGAAAATGCATGGGCTTGATAATGTTTTATGTTTATTTCAATTGTTATCCATTAAGATTTTGTTGGGGGTGTTGAGAAAACAAAGGATAGCAAGGGATTGTTTGTGATTGAAGCTACAAAACAGCGGGCGTGATATAAAGGAAGAGACAGGATAGGGGAGATCCTGGTGTGAATGATGGATACAAGGGTACGATTACTACAATAATGATAACTTTTGAAAGGTTGTCCTACTATCTCTTATTCTCTGTTATCCTATAGGACCATGGAGTAAGTTTGTTGATGAAGAAACTATTGCTAAACCATCTGAGGTATTTCAATTATCCAAATAAATTGTCTTATAAAGATATTTTTCAAATCAAAAATTATTTTTCTGGCGTTTTACCTTGGTAAATACAGGAAGAGTTGACAATACTTGAGGAGTATGAATTATCGAAAAAAAAACAAATCAAAGAAAGATGATATGAAACATTCAGAAGAGAAATCCACATTACACAGTAAGTTAAAATTTTCATACTTTCTTGTAGTTTCCTAAACTTTAGCAAATGAAATTATTTTTCAGTTAAAGATGCATATGACTATCAAGGAAGATCATATCTTCACATTCCACAAGATCTTGGCATTAATCTCAAGTCAGATACTCCTCCAGAACGTTGCTTTCTACCAAAACAACATATTCATACGTGGTATGTAAACAATTCTCCATTTAGTTCATTTATTCAAAATCAAAAAATGGAAGTTAAAATACCAGAAATGACGTTAAACACGCTATTGAATTTTAGTTGTTCTTGCTTTTGTTTGTTTTCTGTTACTTTACTGTAAAACAAAACGGAAGAAATATGAAAGTTTACTTACTAAAATGTAATTAGAAACGCCATGGAACGTCTGACTTAGAGTCATCAATATGCTTTAAATTTTGTAGATTTTAAGGAAAACACGCAATAATTGAATTAAGTTTAAAGACAGTTTATGATATAATTCTTGATGGTATTGAGGAAGTTCAATTATACATTACAGTATTCATTAGAGAAAGCGTCTCATCCAAATATAAACTTAAAATATGAGCGTTTTTAATACGATGCTTCTGTTTGAGTCAAGACGTTTAGGTGATCATTTGATATGTTTATAAAATCATATTTATCAGTGTATTATTTATTATAAAGTAATGATTTGTTCTAGTACTACGTACGTATGTTTGTAGATATTGTATTGGACTTCCTTAGCACTTGTTTTAAGAAACACGGCTAACCTGACATTTACTTATCATTTGACTCTGAAGATGACTACTGCTAAGGTTGTCGAAACGTCAGTCAACATCAACACCAACAGTCCTTCACAGGACTCTACTAACCTCGACAAAACGTAACGATACTTCCTGATGCAAATATTCACTTTATACAGCACTTTTTAATAACATTTAAGTATTTGTTTTCCTGTAGTTCATCCTTCTACCGTCGTGATAAAAGAAAGCAATGGAGATATTCTTACTTATGTATTATTGTATTATTTTATCTTTCTCTTAGGTCTGGTCACACTAAAGGTGTTTCTGCAATAAGATTCTTTCCGAAATCTGCTCATCTTCTTCTGTCGTGTAGCATGGATTGTAAAATTAAGGTAAAAAGTCATTTTCTCTGTCTTACATGTCGTTGTTCATTTTGAGTTTGGTTGTACATCGTTGAATGTTCCTCCAACATTACTGGAGGTGAGAATTTTAATAAATTACCATCACGACAAGCAATACATTTGAAACAATACATTTCCTTTCAGAAACTGCAAGATGATATTCATGTAAGCGCCAACGGCTCTGTTTTTGTAAAATCTAACATAAGACGAGGAATTTTACCCAGGTAATGTGGGATATTTCACATTCATTTGGTTACAGGTCACATTTTTATTGATTCAAAAGATTGTTGAAAAAATAACATTTGCATTTTGTTGTATATTTTGCAATGTACATAGCGTTCCTTCTTAAGTCTTTACTGTCCTAAATGGGTCTTGATATCTTTGGCTATTATATGTTCAATAAGTTTGATTTATTTTAGAATGTTAGAGGAGATATTAGACACACGTATTATGGTAAAGAAAGCTATGAAAGATTGTGAAGATGATAAAGTAAGTTGGTTTTATTAAATCTTTGTTTTTGAAGCGATCTTTGATGTTTTTATAAGATCCAGTAGCTAAAACGTCATGAAGTTTTCATCATGTTCAAAAAAGATGCCTTTCCACTCTTCGTTTGTTTTCTTTAATCATTCAATATCATAAATAATTTACATTTTAGACTCTTCTTCAACTTCTTGATGCTCGACAACTTGCTTTAAAGTTGATTGCAAATGTCACTTATGGTTACACATCCGCAAACTTCTCAGGACGAATGCCTTGTGTTGAGGTAACTTTGATCTTGTCATGATAGAAATTTAAACAAACGATAGCTCTCCCCATTCCATCTAAACAGACCTTGCGCCGTAAACTTTGTATTCATGATAGAAATTTAAACAAACGATAACTCTCCCATTCCATCTAAACAGACCTTGTGCCGTAAACTTTGTATTCATGATAGAAATTTAAACAAACGATAACTCTCCCCATTCCATCTAAACAGACCTTGTGCCGTAAACTTTGTATTCATGATAGAAATTTAAACAAACGATAACTCTCCCATTCCATCTAAACAGACCTTGTGCCGTAAACTTTGTATTCATGATAGAAATTTAAACAAACGATAACTCTCCCATTCCATCTAAACAGACCTTGTGCCGTAAACTTTGTATTCATGATAGAAATTTAAACAAACGATAACTCTCCCATTCCATCTAAACAGACCTTGTGCCGTAAACTTTGTATTCATGATAGAAATTTAAACAAACGATAACTCTCCCCATTCCATCTAAACAGACCTTGTGCCGTAAACTTTGTATTCATGATAGAAATTTAAACAAACGATAACTCTCCCCATTCCATCTAAACAGACCTTGTGCCGTAAACTTTGTATTCATGATAGAAATTTAAACAAACGATAACTCTCCCATTCCATCTAAACAGACCTTGTGCCGTAAACTTTGTATTCATGATAGAAATTTAAACAAACGATAACTCTCCCATTCCATCTAAACAGACCTTGTGCCGTAAACTTTGTATTCATGATAGAAATTTAAACAAACGATAACTCTCCCATTCCATCTAAACAGACCTTGTGCCGTAAACTTTGTATTCATGATAGAAATTTAAACAAACGATAACTCTCCCCATTCCATCTAAACAGACCTTGTGCCGTAAACTTTGTATTCATGATAGAAATTTAAACAAACGATAACTCTCCCATTCCATCTAAACAGACCTTGTGCCGTAAACTTTGTATTCATGATAGAAATTTAAACAAACGATAACTCTCCCATTCCATCTAAACAGACCTTGTGCCGTAAACTTTGTATTCATGATAGAAATTTAAACAAACGATAACTCTCCCCATTCCATCTAAACAGACCTTGTGCCGTAAACTTTGTATTCATGATAGAAATTTAAACAAACGATAACTCTCCCCATTCCATCTAAACAGACCTTGCCGTAAACTTTGTATTCATGATAGAAATTTAAACAAACGATAACTCTCCCATTCCATCTAAACAGACCTTGTGCCGTAAACTTTGTATTCATGATAGAAATTTAAACAAACGATAACTCTCCCATTCCATCTAAACAGACCTTGTGCCGTAAACTTTGTATTCATGATAGAAATTTAAACAAACGATAACTCTCCCATTCCATCTAAACAGACCTTGTGCCGTAAACTTTGTATTCATGATAGAAATTTAAACAAACGATAACTCTCCCATTCCATCTAAACAGACCTTGTGCCGTAAACTTTGTATTCATGATAGAAATTTAAACAAACGATAACTCTCCCATTCCATCTAAACAGACCTTGTGCCGTAAACTTTGTATTCATGATAGAAATTTAAACAAACGATAACTCTCCCCATTCCATCTAAACAGACCTTGTGCCGTAAACTTTGTATTCATGATAGAAATTTAAACAAACGATAACTCTCCCATTCCATCTAAACAGACCTTGTGCCGTAAACTTTGTATTCATGATAGAAATTTAAACAAACGATAACTCTCCCCATTCCATCTAAACAGACCTTGTGCCGTAAACTTTGTATTCATGATAGAAATTTAAACAAACGATAACTCTCCCCATTCCATCTAAACAGACCTTGTGCCGTAAACTTTGTATTCATGATAGAAATTTAAACAAACGATAACTCTCCCCATTCCATCTAAACAGACCTTGTGCCGTAAACTTTGTATTCATGATAGAAATTTAAACAAACGATAACTCTCCCATTCCATCTAAACAGACCTTGTGCCGTAAACTTTGTATTCATGATAGAAATTTAAACAAACGATAACTCTCCCATTCCATCTAAACAGACCTTGTGCCGTAAACTTTGTATTCATGATAGAAATTTAAACAAACGATAACTCTCCCATTCCATCTAAACAGACCTTGTGCCGTAAACTTTGTATTCATGATAGAAATTTAAACAAACGATAACTCTCCCCATTCCATCTAAACAGACCTTGTGCCGTAAACTTTGTATTCATGATAGAAATTTAAACAAACGATAACTCTCCCATTCCATCTAAACAGACCTTGTGCCGTAAACTTTGTATTCATGATAGAAATTTAAACAAACGATAACTCTCCCCATTCCATCTAAACAGACCTTGTGCCGTAAACTTTGTATTCATGATAGAAATTTAAACAAACGATAACTCTCCCATTCCATCTAAACAGACCTTGTGCCGTAAACTTTGTATTCATGATAGAAATTTAAACAAACGATAACTCTCCCATTCCATCTAAACAGACCTTGTGCCGTAAACTTTGTATTCATGATAGAAATTTAAACAAACGATAACTCTCCCCATTCCATCTAAACAGACCTTGTGCCGTAAACTTTGTATTCATGATAGAAATTTAAACAAACGATAACTCTCCCATTCCATCTAAACAGACCTTGTGCCGTAAACTTTGTATTCATGATAGAAATTTAAACAAACGATAACTCTCCCCATTCCATCTAAACAGACCTTGTGCCGTAAACTTTGTATTCATGATAGAAATTTAAACAAACGATAACTCTCCCATTCCATCTAAACAGACCTTGTGCCGTAAACTTTGTATTCATGATAGAAATTTAAACAAACGATAACTCTCCCCATTCCATCTAAACAGACCTTGTGCCGTAAACTTTGTATTCATGATAGAAATTTAAACAAACGATAACTCTCCCCATTCCATCTAAACAGACCTTGTGCCGTAAACTTTGTATTCATGATAGAAATTTAAACAAACGATAACTCTCCCCATTCCATCTAAACAGACCTTGTGCCGTAAACTTTGTATTCATGATAGAAATTTAAACAAACGATAACTCTCCCATTCCATCTAAACAGACCTTGTGCCGTAAACTTTGTATTCATGATAGAAATTTAAACAAACGATAACTCTCCCCATTCCATCTAAACAGACCTTGTGCCGTAAACTTTGTATTCATGATAGAAATTTAAACAAACGATAACTCTCCCATTCCATCTAAACAGACCTTGTGCCGTAAACTTTGTATTCATGATAGAAATTTAAACAAACGATAACTCTCCCCATTCCATCTAAACAGACCTTGTGCCGTAAACTTTGTATTCATGATAGAAATTTAAACAAACGATAACTCTCCCATTCCATCTAAACAGACCTTGTGCCGTAAACTTTGTATTCATGATAGAAATTTAAACAAACGATAACTCTCCCATTCCATCTAAACAGACCTTGTGCCGTAAACTTTGTATTCATGATAGAAATTTAAACAAACGATAACTCTCCCATTCCATCTAAACAGACCTTGTGCCGTAAACTTTGTATTCATGATAGAAATTTAAACAAACGATAACTCTCCCCATTCCATCTAAACAGACCTTGTGCCGTAAACTTTGTATTCATGATAGAAATTTAAACAAACGATAACTCTCCCATTCCATCTAAACAGACCTTGTGCCGTAAACTTTGTATTCATGATAGAAATTTAAACAAACGATAACTCTCCCCATTCCATCTAAACAGACCTTGTGCCGTAAACTTTGTATTCATGATAGAAATTTAAACAAACGATAACTCTCCCCATTCCATCTAAACAGACCTTGTGCCGTAAACTTTGTATTCATGATAGAAATTTAAACAAACGATAACTCTCCCATTCCATCTAAACAGACCTTGTGCCGTAAACTTTGTATTCATGATAGAAATTTAAACAAACGATAACTCTCCCATTCCATCTAAACAGACCTTGTGCCGTAAACTTTGTATTCATGATAGAAATTTAAACAAACGATAACTCTCCCATTCCATCTAAACAGACCTTGTGCCGTAAACTTTGTATTCATGATAGAAATTTAAACAAACGATAACTCTCCCATTCCATCTAAACAGACCTTGTGCCGTAAACTTTGTATTCATGATAGAAATTTAAACAAACGATAACTCTCCCCATTCCATCTAAACAGACCTTGTGCCGTAAACTTTGTATTCATGATAGAAATTTAAACAAACGATAACTCTCCCCATTCCATCTAAACAGACCTTGTGCCGTAAACTTTGTATTCATGATAGAAATTTAAACAAACGATAACTCTCCCCATTCCATCTAAACAGACCTTGTGCCGTAAACTTTGTATTCATGATAGAAATTTAAACAAACGATAACTCTCCCCATTCCATCTAAACAGACCTTGTGCCGTAAACTTTGTATTCATGATAGAAATTTAAACAAACGATAACTCTCCCCATTCCATCTAAACAGACCTTGTGCCGTAAACTTTGTATTCATGATAGAAATTTAAACAAACGATAACTCTCCCCATTCCATCTAAACAGACCTTGTGCCGTAAACTTTGTATTCATGATAGAAATTTAAACAAACGATAACTCTCCCCATTCCATCTAAACAGACCTTGTGCCGTAAACTTTGTATTCATGATAGAAATTTAAACAAACGATAACTCTCCCATTCCATCTAAACAGACCTTGTGCCGTAAACTTTGTATTCATGATAGAAATTTAAACAAACGATAACTCTCCCCATTCCATCTAAACAGACCTTGTGCCGTAAACTTTGTATTCATGATAGAAATTTAAACAAACGATAACTCTCCCATTCCATCTAAACAGACCTTGTGCCGTAAACTTTGTATTCATGATAGAAATTTAAACAAACGATAACTCTCCCATTCCATCTAAACAGACCTTGTGCCGTAAACTTTGTATTCATGATAGAAATTTAAACAAACGATAACTCTCCCATTCCATCTAAACAGACCTTGTGCCGTAAACTTTGTATTCATGATAGAAATTTAAACAAACGATAACTCTCCCCATTCCATCTAAACAGACCTTGTGCCGTA